TGTGTGTGTGTGTGTGTGTGTGTGTGTGTGTGTGTGTGTTTCAGCCTCACCAGCCTGTCGATGACGTTCTGGATGGTTCTGTACCATTCTCTGATGAGCGATTCTGTCTCTGACTGCAGCAAAAACTCATTTCCCGTAACCGTCCTCAGCTACACACACACACACAGAGACACACACACACACACACACACAAAGTGTTGTTCCATTCAGTGTTTTATCACAATTTAAATTTATAACAGAGGAAGTTCCTGAGGAACTAAAAACTAAATGTTACTCTGTTAACAGCTCAAACAGTAAGACACAAACACTAATTACATTGACTTTTTCACAGATGCTCCTTTCGGGAAATAAAATGGACAACTCTTGATATTTGATTGCATATTTTAGTGTCTCACAAACCTGAGCAGAGTTTGAGACATTCTCCTTTAGTATAAAATCTGATTTCTGTCTCGTTCTCACCTTAAAGACGTTTTTTCTGCTGGACAGATCGTTGGCCCACTGAAGCTGAGCTCCTCTCAGATCCACGCTGCTCTCTGGACGACTGTTACCCGGTTTCTGCATGCAAACACACACATACTCACAAATATTTCACTTTTAAAGCATTAGACGCTGAACTGACCCCATGCTTTTCCCTGTTAGTCTCACCCAGCTGTCAGGATTCTGGCTTTTGGGGTCTTTGAAGAAGACGAGACTGTTTCCCACCAGCACCACCCATGACAGGTTCCAGTTTTTCCTGAAAATGACACAAAAGACGTCATTTTTGCTCCAATCTAGTTGAGAAAACTGTACAGAGAGACTCCATTTAGGAGCACGACCCAGAGGTCAAAAGGTCAAAACCATTTATTTATTGTCCTTTATTGTTGCCTACTGTAAATGGTGCAAAAATATACTTATAGAAATATTTCTGGGACATCTGACAAACGTAATAGGTCAGAATAGAACTAAAAACAGCACAAATAAAATATTTACAACATCTGAAAATTATTATAGTTAATATTTTGTAACGAATGTGAAAAAAAATATTATTTATATATTTGTTTAATAAATATTTATAAATACATATTATAATTGAAATAAAATAAAAAATTAGATGAAATGAATTAAACTACATTCCCTGTCTGCTGCCTAAATGGCTCAAAAATGTTAGTAAATCAAAAAACACACTATTTTCATCCACTGAACCACTCGTAGCTTACCGTTTACAGTATCATAGTTTACCATATCTGACTGCTTAACATTAACCATCCTAAACCTCACTACACTTTTTATGCTTAAAACACAGAAGAAGAAAAAATAATAATTTGCCAATCTGGCAGAAAAAAAACACTTGTCATGTGCAATTATTGTGCAATTTTGCTTCTCAAGAACCTGAGGATGCTGAGACATTTTAACTGGAAAACAAGACAAAAACGCTGATTAAGAAGCAGTTTTTGTGCAACTCGAGCCAAATTCTGCCTGTAATCTTGATCCATCTGAAGTGACTCGTATTATTTTAGGTCTGGTGTGTGTTTGCATGTTTTAGCTCAAGGTGTGTGTGTGTGTTTGTTTGTGTATGTGTATGTGTGTGTGTGTGTGTGTGTGTGTGTGTGT